GCGCTGATAGCTTGTTGTACTTGCAAAGTAATGGCAGTATTTTACACACCTGAATTACAAACAGAGATTGTGTTGGGGCTGCGGCCATTATTGGTTTGAGAGTTCTGTTATCAAGAAAAAATGATCGGAAGAATTGCATTCAAGTCAATGGAGTGCTGCTGCTGTGAGGAGCTGTATAATAAATTATAATTCAATATTAGAATATATTCTAATGTTTAAAGTAATACATCCGGACGCGAAACTAATGGTATTCTTTAACTTATATATTGTGTTAGCAGTGCATTGCTTTAGTACCATTTCATCAGTGATTGTTGTGAAGAAGATGACATAGTCTGGGATCGCGTCTTTAATTCAGACAGAAGACATGTTTTATTGTCGATGGTAGAGACAGCACGAACAACACGATCAACAGAATGCGTGTGTATTATACAGAGCGGAGGCATGGAGACCTCCAATCAGCAGCTGCCACGGTGTGCTTGTACAGTAGCTTGGCCTTCAGATAGACAAAACATGAAGTGGAAAAGTACAGGCTTCTGCACATTGATAGAATGATGAGTTTAACTTTAACAAAAGTTGCTTCAAAGTGTTATGAAATCTCACAGTTGCACAGCTTACAAGTTGCGCCAATGCTAATGTTAGCATACATATCAGATCGCAAATAAAACTAGGTGGCTCCGTGTTATGAGAGCGTAGGGGAAATGAGAAGCATGTGAGCGAGTTGGGGGGCGATGCTAAACATTCAAACATTGCAGAAACGGGTATAGCGCCTTTAAGTAAGGGATAATGTATAGTAGGCAGGTCATTATCGGAAAATAAGTGCCAACAGGGCGAAGACATTTGCAGAGGAGCTTCTGCCCATTTTACGACACATTTTCAATCCTCTGCAAATGTAGGTTTATCGCAATTGCTTTTTGTCGCATTAAAACAGTATTTTTGTCATGAAAACGTTAACAGATAATTCTGAAAACCTCCGTGCATGTGTATTAAGAATGTATATGTATAATATTCTCCAAGTAACATTTAAATGTGTTGATAGATTGGTATTTGCGTTCATTGAGCGTGGCTAGCTCCGATAGCTTCTCTGCAGAGACAGTGCCAGCGGCGAAGTGGCCGGAACTACTTGCGGAGTAATCTACACACCTGAATTACAAGCAGAGAGTGTGTTGCCAAAGGACAGCGGTCATTATTGTTTTGAGAGGTCGGTTATCAAGAAATAATGGCCAGTAGAACGTTTTGAAATCACATTCAAATCCAGTAATCCTGCTGCTGTGAGGAGACGTGTAATAACCAATAATAAATGTGACCTTTTATAGGAATATTTACCTCCAACATGTGGTTCAAATGTTGTGACTTGAAATTTGACTTATAAATGTCCATGAGGCTGAGGACTCTCTGTGTCGATGCATCATCTTGAAATAAAGTGGTTGATAAGGGACAAAAAGGAGTTTGAGAGGGACCACTGTCAAAGACCACATAATGTCCTGCGAAGCCACCGTAGTACCGTAGATTACAATATATAATCTCAACACTTGGAGTAAAAACTACACAGTGGACCTTTTAAGGGATTTTCTTTTAAAATAATGCATTTTATTTGTATTGAGACCAATGTTGAGAATAAAATGATCCACAGAGCTCTTCAAATTAAAAATAGCAATCAATTTGCTCTGATATAACACTATGCAAGTCTTATTTCAGTTCAGTTAATTTGTCATAAGCAGTTTATAAGCACATCAGAGTTAATCACAATCTCCTCTGTCTACGATGCTCTGTATTTTAACTGATTTCTTAACTTGTATGTAAGGCAACCTTGAGTTTCAAGAAAGGCGCCTAAGAAATAAATGTATTATTTTTATTATTATTATTATTTTTAATTATGATTCTAAAAGTGAATCAAAGACATTCATGTGAAAGAGACAGAAACTACTGAATAATTACAGTATGTACAGTATTTATGTCCATTTTCCACACAGTGCTATATGTTTTCTACTTACTGTGCTGAAGTTATTGTAGCTTTGTGTAAAAACATATTTGTTGTCTTTATATGAATAACGCAGTGGACAGCAGTGGACAGCTGGTGTGGGAGCTCACAGGGTCCAGAGGCCAAGTGAAGAAATCCAGGATTAGAGAACTCAACAGAACATCCTTAAAATACATCAATCTTCATTAAACCCAGAATTTAATCAAGTTCAATCAAATCATTTACATTCTGTTTTTTTAAAAGGTCCTCACAAAATAGAAGAAAAAGGTCCTTTATTCATCCCACAATGGGGACATTTCAGTTTGATGCATACACACAAACGATATTAACATCAAGGCAAGCCGCAAACATTACTTCCACGCTCCTCATAGGCAAAGTGGGTTAAGTGTCTTGCCCAAGGACACAGCAATAATCAGTGGGAGTCGGTGGAGAAGGTCTCGTGGTGGGCTCGAACCCATGACCTTCAGGCTCAAAGGACAATGCTCCTCCAACTGAGCCACTGTCGCCCAAAATATGTAAAGATACATTCATTTATTTGTTGAAACACATAAAAGAAAATGCAGACATTACTCATTACCAAAATAATTTCAAACGAGAAGTTAAGAAATGCGTAACGGCAGCTCACAGGGATTTTAATTTGAAATGTGTAAAAAGTTATTTAGATAAGTAACTGTGATAGATAGATACTTTAATGATCCCCGTAGAAGAAATCAAAGTGTCCAGTAGCAGCAAAAATTTAAATAAAATAAAATTGATCATTCTAAAAATCTAACAATAGTAAGTGTTGTCTATGTGTGTTTCTTTTGAAAAATAAATACGACTTTTTTTGTCCAAAGAAAAGTGTAAACTCTCCTTTGGCCTCGTGGGATTCCTCCTCATGAAGTAATACATCTCTGTCAATCACACATTTTTGCTTTATTGATTCCATTCAGACGTTGAAGAGTTTAAATTGAGTCCTGAGGCTGCAGCAGTGAAGTGACACTGCAGGGACCTAACCTTTCAGATCCACAAATATGACATTTACAAACCCACTGACTGCAACCTAACCCATGCTTAAAAATACGTGGAAATAATCAAATCAGACAAACAAGAATCTACACTAAAAACCATAATGTGTTCTTATTTTTTCAGAGGGAATAATCGACCAAATTAATTCACAGTGAAAGAAAAGGTAAAAACATGTAATTATCTATATCATAATCGTTTACTAATTTGTATAACTGTTTTTCCATGCTATAAAGAATATTTTAAATATTTCACTCACTGACACTGAGGCTATACATCTGTTTTGTTCGCCTGTCCCTTTTTTATGTCATTTCAATCATCGTCACAACAAAGTGCGGACATAGCAACGGAGCATAGCAACGGAGCATAGCAACGGAGCATAGCAACGGAGCATAGCAACGGAGCATAGACACGGAGCATGGCAGCGGAGCATAGCAACGGAGCATTGCAACGAAGCATAGCATCGGAGCATAGCAACAAAGCATAGCAACGAAGCATAGGAACGGAGCATAGCTATGGAGCATAGCAACGGAGCATAGCAACGGAGCATAGCAACGGGGCATAGCAACGGAGCATAGCAACGGAGCATAGCAACGGAGCATAGCAACGGAGCATAGCAACGGGGCATAGCAACGGAGCATAGACACGGAGCATAGCAGCGGAGCATAGCAACGGAGCATTGCAACGAAGCATAGCATCGGAGCATAGCAACAAAGCATAGCAACGAAGCATAGGAACGGAGCATAGCAACGGAGCATAGCTATGGAGCATAGCAACGGAGCATGGCAACGGAGCATAGCAACGGAGTATAGCAACGGAGCATTGCAACGGAGCATAGCAACGGAGCACAGCAACGGAGCATAGCAACAAAGCATAGCAACGGAGCATAGCAACGGAGCATTGCAACAGCGCAAGTCAGTAAAGTAGTGCTATACATGTGAAATGCTACCAAATTATCCGTGGATCACAGATGATTAAAAAAATAGTCAAAAAACAAACTGTGAAATGATAATGAGGCAAAACTGATACAGAGGTGAATAAGTAAAAAATCACAACCGCAAGAACTTTTGATAAATATACCCCTAAGAGTGTAAAGAAGAAATGTTTTAAACGTTAGGGTTAGGGTTGCGTTTTCTGCCACTCACTCCAAGTTGCTTATTACATCAAGAAGTCAACAATACGTCAACTGTTTGTAGTCGGGGGCAACAATTTCCTTTACTTCCTGCGTCAAAGTAGGGGACCATATACTTGCTTATTTTTATGCCAAAGGTAGAGAGTTTAGTAAGTTAAAGTCACGGTTTAGAGATTTTACACTGCTTCTTTTTATGCTGGAGTTAGATTTTTATCTTTAATTCTATTTCTATTCTATTTCTATTGCCTCTCCTTTATTGTACATAATTATATCCTCTACAAACTATATTTTTAACCTTTTACATGTTGCACACTTCTGTCTTTTGCACAATCTGAGTGCTTCTATCTGTGCCAAATTTCACCAGTGTGAGATCAATCAATCAACCAACTTTTATTTGTAGAGCACCTTTCCTACACAAGGCAACACAAAGCGCCTCACAACCCACATTATATCAAGCAAATCATAAACAATAAAATCTACATGTACATAAAAAACACAAGAAAGATCAAAAACACAATAAAATCACAAGTAATTAAAAACCTTAAAACATTAAAAACACACCCGGGGTTAAAATAATAAATAGCCACAACGCACTAAAAAGAGTAAATATGAAATCCTTCAGTTGTACAGATGATAATTATTAAAAAATCCTTATAAAACATATACAGAAATAGATCAATAGAGTCTATACTTTCTTATTTGATTGTATTAGGTATAGAGTTATTGTTCAATTATCTTGTTCTTGCTCATTCCTACTGTCCTGTAACCGTTGACGCAACCCTGAAATTTCCCCACTGTGGTACGAATAAAGGATCTCTCTTAACCTTAACCATTTTCCAGCACATATTTGAGATTCCGAACGTCATATCGATGAGAAGTCACACATTATTTGGCATCCGCTACGAGTGGAAGCTTCCGCGGAGCTCTGCATGTGCCCGGCGGAGGTACAGGCCCCTGAGTGATTGGCTGTGACTGTTGGGGTCCAGGGTCTGTTTGGGGTCTGCCCGGGGTCAAGCGTGTTGTCCAATAACGCAGCGGGACCTCCAGGCCGGATCCGGGCGGTATCCAGGCAACAGGCCCCGCCCCCCGGCCTCCTCTGGTGGATATGGGGACGATGAGGGGTCCGGTGGTGATTGAGCCGCGGGGGCCCATTCTCTCCTCATCAGCGCTCATTCAACTGCTGTGTAAGTCGGCCCAAATGAATTATCGCAGACAATAGAAGAGAGGGTCCAGAGTGGGACGAGAGCGGACCACTCCGTTATCGGCATGTGGACCATGACTGGTTTACTTTGTTTTGGCGTAGAATGAAATGTGTTCATCACAATAATAACATGAAATATAGTGTTGTATCTCAATCATACTATTTATATAAAAAACAGCAAAGGGTGATTTCTTCTTTCTTTCTTTCGACCTCTCTTTTGGGCGTTCTCTGTGAGATTGTTGGATTAGGTTGAGGCATTGTGATTTATTTTTTTAGGTATTTTCAGTTATAAAAAGGAATTTAGATTTTTTTTAACTATTTTTTTATTTATATCCAAAATGTAGGAAAAAGTATTACAGACAATATATTTTGTCGTTGTTGAAATGTCTGTTTATAGTATAGTATTTAACATATGTATATGTATTGTACAGTATTTAACCCATCGTTACAACAGCAATGCGTCTATAGAGCGATAGTAAGTTTGATCCAAAGTCAATTATCTCCTGTTAAACATTTGCAGGTGTAAAAATGCATTTTCAATTAATCATGATTGTATTTTAACGTTGTATTGTAAAACCCTGGACTGCCATGTTTAAAAACAGTGGCAGAATTTTCTTCAGTTTATTTTCTGAACATTTGTCCTATTATTTTAACAATCTAATTTTAGCTTGTTAAAATAATATTACAAACGATAAATACACATGAATACATTTGTAATCGTGGATGATGACAAATTGTCCAAATGCAGAATGCCTTTAATTATTTTGTAAGTTTTATTATTGTTTTTCCTTGGAGATTTTTTTCTATATTTTTAACATACATCATGTGTAAAATGTGTTGCCTTTTAATAATCTTAGCAATTCAGCTAAAATGGACCATTATGTCTTGTGCTATCACATTTCTACACGTGGGAACATTGATTTAACTTTCCTGCGAGTCATAAACGATAAAATGTTCCGACCAAACATGGGACGGTCGTTAAGAGAAAGACAGAGAATCCAATCTGACCTCCATCAAATCAGAAGCCACTAAATCTACAGGAACGCACCGAAAACCTGATGCAATCTCATTACTCTCCTCGTCTGATGTGTTTTCAAGCTCTTCAAACAAATCCTGATATTAGAATAACATATGAGTGGAATGCAATAATGTGAAGCCGAACACAAAGTGATTTTAAATTAAGAGGAGTCAGCATTGCTAGAATTACACGCTTAGTGGGAACCAATGAGATGCTGTACGACGGAATGGGAAACCGCAGAAAAATCCATACGCACCACATCATTCGATCACGCCGTCTGCTCACTGCTCGACATGACTCTGTTAAAACTGTTGTACTCCGCTAATACGGAAATAACACGCTGATTACAGAGGGAACAGCCAACAGAAAATCATCCATTAAAATGAGATTAAAACAGAAAACACAGAGACAAACGTAAACAGCAGAAGATTTCAGTAGTGTTTAAGGTGAATAAAAAGTCATGTACACTTGTGTTCTATGCAGGGTTTTGGCGTTGACATAGTAATGATAATAATAATAATGATAATAATAACAATAATAATAATAATAATAATAACAATAATAATAATAATAACAAATGTGATAATAGTAATAATAATAATAATAATACTAATAATAATAATAATAATAACACATATGATAATAATAATAATAATAATAATAGTAATAATAATTTAATAGTAAAAGATTCAGATTCAGAAAACTTTTTGATCCCAAAGGGCAATTCATTTGTAGCAGAAACTCAAAGCAGAACACACAATTACTCTACACAAACACACAGTGAGTCTCAAAGTTCACACAGCAGCAGGTTACACAAAATAAGTTAAAAAAACAACAATGAACAACACAGTTCCCAAAAGTCAAACACCTCGACCAGAGTTCAACAGTTTTATGGCATGGAGCACAACAGAGCTGTATTCTGGCTGGGCTGAGCCAGAATACATTTTTGCTTTATTCAGCAAACCTTTTCCCACTTTTTTATTATTTATTATTATTAAGTAAGTAATCTTAATCTATATATTGCCTTTCACAGACCAGAGTCACAAAGCGGTTTACAATTGTGGACATTTGTCACCAGTACAGGAGGTGCACGCCAGACCTATTGTACATGTTTTAGTGGTAGGGGAAACCGGAGCACCCAGAGGAAACCTACGTAGACACGGGGAGAACAAGCAAACTCCACTCAGAAAGGCCCTGTTCCGACCAGGATTTGAACCCTGGACTTTCTTGCTGAGAAGCGAGAGTGCTAACCACTCAGCCCCCGTGCTGCAATGTTTATTTACCACACTTTGTTAGGCCAGTCAAATCTTTACAAAACGATAAAGGACTCTGCAAAGGACATACATGAAAGTCTGATAAAAAAAAAAAAGATCTTTTCTCCCAATACATAATATCTAAATATATGAATACTCACATGTGTAGAAAACGTAAAAAAATGTATGTACTGAAATGTCATCGGATGTAAAGACTGATTCAATACAGACTATATATAATAAGCTATGTAATGTGTTTATTTATTATTTGCGTATATATTTGAATATGTAGTTAAAACACATGCAAGGACGGTTAAAATAGGATTGGAGAAAAGTAAGCGTTGCTCCAGCCTAATCCGGCCCTAACTCAGTTTCTGTTTCTGTCTTATTATGATTCTGTTATTGTGTGAATACTGCCCTGAACACTGCATGTAACGTGCATGTGACGAACAAATAATCAAAACTAATGTTAAAGTAGTCAATTTACTGTATTTATTCAATATTATGTTTATTATGTCATGAAGAGATGCACGTCGTGAGGGCAATACTAGAAAAAAATGTTTGTCGGATCATTCAATGGACTTCAACTGCACACAAGAGAAACTAAAAACTTGCTTTATTCAGAAATGATTCCTTTAATAATAATGTCCTTGATTATTTCCAATCCCTTTTGAGTCTGCTCCTGCAAAGTTTGATTATTTAAGATGGTTGTGTTTTAAATGTACAACCTCATTCCACTCAACAGATTCCTCCTGATTAACTCTAGCCAAAATATTGTATTGTATTGTATTGTATAGTACGAGGACACCCATGGGTCCGTCACTGAATGTGTGTTGCTTCAAAACCAAACACCTCTCTCCCGATAGAACAGCTCATCCTCCTCTTCCTCCAAATCCCTGATGCATCCGTCTGACTCTACGCGCTGTCATTTCCACGGCACAATCAAATATTTGCTCTGCATGTGTCTGTGGTAATGATGATGATTTCCCAGAATGCTCAGGGTGTGTGTCGGTAATTGGGCCATGGCTTGTCTCCGTTGTCTCAGGAGGATGCCCAGGCCTTCGTCAGATTGGTCACACAGCCGCTCCACGTCTCTGCACCTGTATAGTATCCAGTTTATCATGATGACTGCAGTGAAGACGTAACACAAGAGCTCAGACTCCTCCAGACGATAACATACATACTCAAATGTGTTCCCCAAAGGACCAAGATATCAGAGCAGTTTAAGATGTAGATTGAGAGATCCTTTAATCGTCCCACAGTGGAGAAATTTCAGTGTTGCTCACAAGTTATAGAACAGTAACAGTGACAGTAAACCCCCACTACACGCGGTCACAACACATTCAATCTTAGGTGCTTTGCCCAAGGACACAGTGGCAGTGAATGAAGTTTGCGGTTCCACGTCTTTTGCGTAAGTGAGAAACGTAAGGATTGACATAACTGCACCAAATTCAGACTGTTTCTGGCGAAAAAATGGTTTGACGGACTGAAATACTTCTCTGGAAATCAGACACCCAGATAACCCAAGAATATGACTACTGTTGGGATATATAATGTATCATATCTATCCTGTATATCACTTAATAATAATAACAATATATTGGTATTGCAGCTTGTGTACTCTGCTCTGAAACCCTGATTTTTTTAAATAAATGAATAAAAAAACGTAATCTTTTTTAGTAAATAAACTGGAAGAAAAATAAAATAAAAACAAGTTATAGAGAAGTAGGAAAGAGGAGCACACGGCACGATAAGTGAACAATAGCTAAACTAATTAAAACACATGAATACATCACTGCAAGTAAATCCATTATTTTCTTTATTTTCTGAGATATTACAAAGTGTGTTTTTACTTTTTTATACAACTTTGTTGCTTTTTTTTGCTTTTTAAAATATGAATATGCATTGGTATTATTATTATTGTCCTTTGAAACTAGTGTAAACAGTGAAAATAGCTCAACAAAGTTTGGTTCTATGAGTAGAATTGTGGCTTTTAGAGTAAAAAAAAACATCAGCTCAATATGTGCGTTGTTTTTTTGCTTTCGATTGATAAAATAAATATAAATTATAAAACAACAACAAAGTTTTGAAGGAATTTTACATGATTTTGAGGTGTGGTTTTGTTGTTATTATTAACTCATTTGTCAAGTTGAACTAAATGATGAATTGATATTGTGTGTCAATATCTGCATTTTTTTCTTTTTTCTTTTTAAGTTGTCGATTCCAGTTCACTGCATAACTTTCTCAAACAAATAACTTGAACCGGAATATGTCCAAAGTGAAACATCCAAACTATGAAACCGAAAAGTTCTTGGTACATTTTGGTACATTTTCAGGATTCACTGGATCTTGAGGTGATTTTGTGGTGAGAGAAGTTGCTGCAGTCTCCGTTTCTCTGACGTCGAGACTGAAGCGTTACTTTTCCACATTTTGCAGTGGAGCCGTGACCTAAATGTACATGTGGAAGAGAAAATCTACATGACAGCGCACGAACACCAGAGGAGAGGGGCACGACGAGTGGACCTCCATCTGCGTTTGTTATTTAACGGCACGCGATCCTTTAGTCAAATAAGAGAACGATTTATTCACCATTTTGAGACAGTCACAGTATCTGGCTTATTATTGGTTTGCCATCTCAGATATGATCAATATTGGCACAAATGGAAGAATAAAATATATATGTGTGTGTGTGCGTGTGAAT